AGATGACCTTGGGCGGGACCTTAAGAGCTCCGCAGCCCGGTAGTGGCCAAGGCTTCTGATCCTCTTAAACCGCCTAAAGAATCTTAAATCATGCCTAGTTTGCGCGTCTGACGAATTATCAAGTGGCAGTTCGGCCTCGGCTGCCGTCGAACCCTTCACTGCCCCTTCCTTCTGAAACCCTTCCTTCGTGCAGCAGACTGTGGGGCACCAGAGGTCAGTCTCCTGTGATGTGACACCCATCAGATCAGACACCACCCAACGATCATGATGACAAAGGTGCCGTCAGATGATGGATGAGCTGGAGCCAGGGCCCGACGGACTCATATGGCAGCACAGCAGCCCGTGCGCTGAGATGAATCAGTCCCGTGAACGCAACTCGGGCCCATTTCATATTCATTTTGGGCCACGGACTTATTTGGTATGGACGCATATTTTTACTGGTGTGTGGCGGCGATTCTATGTTTGCGATGTTGCTTTCGTTGTGACATGAACACCCATTGACTGCGGATGCATGCGACTGAAGACAAGAGAGAGACGGTGGTGAACTCAGAAATTCGGCACCAGCTGACCAGCAAGTGAGCAGGTACCGCCAGCGTTTAACGCAGGTTTATTTTCACCATGTGGAAATCCGTCACGCCGGGCAATGGCACGATGCACCATTCATGCCGTTCGTTCAACTACATTGCTCTCTTTTTCAAGGGTAGCCAGAGTGTATGTAGGGAAGGCATTATATTACACTCACTCCTTGACAGCCGTGCCGATGTCCGCGGTGGCTGCTCCTCCTGTGTCTGCCCGCGCAGATCCAGAAACGCGCACCATAGTGGAGACGTCGAGAAGTGTGGTTGTGTGGCCAAAACTACCGGAGGAAAAAACTTCCAGCGTGAAAAGTTAGAATTGCGCTTGGCTTTGTGCGCGACTCGTCTCGCCACTGCCACACGTGCCACGACGTGTCCCTCCACTTACAGATCTGGTCTGTGACGGTCCGCTTTGTGACGCCTATTACGAGAAGTACTATAATTGGGCCGAGTGTGGCCGCTCATCAGCCGGAATGGACGCGTCGGAGCCCCGTTGTTTTCGCTGCGACGCCCCACTTACGCGCTTCACCACGTGCCATGTTGACGTGGCCGTAGCCGCAGTTGTTCCGCCAAGCGGCAACAGGGATCTGAATGGCGTGCCTCTCCGCTGAGACGCGGCACCGTTCTCTGTGGCGATTAGCGTTTTGAACGCGCGACTGGGCTTTGCTTCCATATGGTGATATCACACGAACGCGTGAGCATGATCAGTTGTCATTCTGTGGATGGCGCCAAAAAAACAAAGCTAGCGAAGCCAGACATATTTGGCGACCCAGCTCAATCGGTTTGGTCAATGAATGAAAAAGCCCATCTTTTGAGGTTTTTTATGGGCAGAAATTTGGTGAGAAGGCATTGGTCTGCAGATCTCACAAGTAACGTGACTTGAACATCGGTTGGCTACGACACTCGATAAGCCTGACAATGTGAATCGCTAAAATCGATATCTTTCAATCAGGTATGTTTTCTCATTAATGCCTGAAACGCCCAAACTGAGCAGACCAATCGTTCACGCACAACAGCGCACGAACCTTCTGCAAACATTCAGTCGGCTCTTTTGCCCACATTATTGTTTGTCCTTCCCATTAGAATCTGCTGCTCGCTTGAAAGCCCACCTTATGGCTGCGCATCTAAACGCGTAGCAGTTGGTTGCAGCACAGCTTGTTTAAGAATTGATCTTCCTGCTACCCAAGCTAGGTGCACATGCAAACAGTGCTTGCAAAGATGTTGATTTGTATAAAGCGTGACGGCCGGACGAGGCCGAGCGTTGTAATGTTCTCACAGCCGAGCCGTCCAAATGTTCTCACAGCCGAGCCATCCCAATGCTCTTACAGCCGAGCCGTACCAATGTTCTCACAGCCCAGCCGTCCAAATGTTCTCACAGCTGAAGTAAGGCCCACTTGGCCCGCGGCCGCAGACGTAATGGCAAGACCCTAAAGAGATGAAGCTCTGACGTGCCGTGCTTAATGGTCGCATTAATCGGTGCCCCAAAAGACGAACTGGCGTGGGATGTAGGTCTGTAGTGTCATTGGGACCGTTGGCTGCTGTTCTGGAGTGTAGTGGCATACTCTTGATCAAGCAGCTTTGATGTTCCAGAGGTTTTGCTTCTTTCTTCTTCATTTTTTAAGCACAGTTTCATTCTTCTTACATCTGCCTTGACAACCTAGCTACTCGCAAAAGGGCTGCTGCATCGCAGTCAAGTTCCTCTCTCGTTAGCGTTTGTCCCACGCGGCTGGGACTCGGCGCATGCGCGTTAAAACGCACGGGTGCAAAGCTCTTCAATTCTTCTATATGGAAATATAATCCTGAGAGAAGTCATTCGTCTAAAAACGCGACGCTAAAAAGGGTGGAATCATGACAATTGACAACTGACATCTTTGTTATCCTAGGCATCGACGCATACCAAACGTTTCGCTGATCTGTGTGTCTGACTTAAGCGTTTGCTTGCATTTTAGTGCCACTTGCCTCAGTTTAATGGTACTGTTATTGCCGACATCACAGTCCAGCAACGTCGGTTTCATTGGCAAGTCATCCTTTAACCAAGCTTATAAATAAAACACTTCTGCGGATATTTGGTATATTAGAGTCGGTTAAGCTTTACAACATCACAACAAACAATGACACTGGAATGCATCTAGAAGCACTTGCGATGGACGATGGAGGGGCCAGACTCATCGTACTCCTGCTTGGAGATCCACATCTGCTGGAAGGTCGACAGCGAGGCCAGGATAGAGCCGCCGATCCAGACAGAGTACTTCCTCTCCGGCGGCGCGATGATCTTGATCTTCATCGTGCTCGGAGCCAGCGCCGTGATCTCTTCTGCATGCGGTCGGCGATGCCCGGGTACATCGTGCTGCCTCCAGACAGCACCGTGTTGGCGTACAGGTCCTTCCTGATGTCCACGTCGCACTTCATGATGCTGTTGTACGTCGTCTCGTGGATGCCGCACGACTCCATGCCCAGGAACGACGGCTGGAACAGGGCCTCCGGGCAGCGGAAGCGCTCGTTGCCGATGGTGATCACTGGCCGTCGGGAAGCTCGTAGCTTTCTCCAGGCTGCTCGAGCTGGCCGCCGTCGCCATCCTGCTCGAAGTCCAGCGCCACGTAGCACAGCTTCTCCTTGATGTCGCGCACGATTTCCGCTCGGCGGTGGTGGTGAAGCTGTAGCAGCGCTCCGTCAGGATCTTCATCAGTAGTCGGTCAGGTCACGGCGGCCAGGTCCAGACGCAGGATGGCGTGGGGCAGCGCATAACCTGAAACACACACACACGAATGTCAGGACGCTGTCACAGTACCTATGTTAATGCAACACTGAAATATTCTGTAAATACATGCAAGACATGCCAATTCTAATGAGTATGTTACTTGAAGCGATGGAGATTTTAATTTTTAGATATAAATAAGAAATTGAATACAAAAATCAGGAAGAGTAATTTGCAATACAGCGTCGCGAAATCATTACTTCGTCCAACACAAATTCCTGGCGATTGCCCATGAAGTCGAGACGCATGGTTTTGCTGCTCACCTTCGTAGATGGGCACGGTGTGGGACACGCCGTCGCCAGAGTCGAGCACGATGCCGGTGGTGCGGCCAGAGGCGTACAGCGAGAGCACCGCCTGGATGGCCACGTACATGGCGGGAGTGTTGAACGTCTCGAACATGATCTGGGTCATCTTCTCGCGGTTGGCCTTCGGGTTCAGGGGAGCCTCCGTCAGCAGCACCGGGTGCTCCTCGGGCGCCACACGCAGCTCGTTGTAGAACGTGTGGTGCCAGATTTTCTCCATGTCGTCCCAGTTGGTGACGATGCCGTGCTCGATCGGGTATTTGAGAGTCAGGATGCCTCGCTTCGACTGGGCCTCATCGCCGACGTACGAGTCCTTCTGTCCCATGCCGACCATCACGCCCTGGTGACGGGGACGGCCGACGATGGAGGGGAAGACGGCACGGGGCGCGTCGTCTCCGGCGAAGCCGGCCTTGCACATGCCGGAGCCATTGTCGACCACCAGAGCGGCAACCTCGTCGTCGCACATGTTTGCAGAGTTGATGGTTCAACAAGTCACTGAAATGACAGACAAGCAGTTGATCACAAAGGACGGCACAATTATGACTAAAGACGCACACGTACGAAAATCCCGCTTCTAACAACTGTTTGAAAGTGCATGGCAAAATATGTATCTGCAAATATTTCTGGTGAAATTGAAGCCTCGTCTCGTGCCTGCACGCGGTTTCTTATCTGGACAACTCCCTGCAGTAAGATTCAAAGATTGGCACGTGCCATTCTGAGAAATGCTTGAAGTGTTGCATTGACATTTCGCTATCGTGGCGAAAAGAGCCTCATTAATCTCTAGATCTCAACCCCTACACACAGAACAAAAATAACGCTAGATTTGTCAATTCTCACAGAGCTAATCGTGGGATTTTCTCCGCTCGTAAACCTGTCCAACTCGTTCAGTAACATGTGAACAAGACGCAAGTAATAACACAGTATAATCTTCTCTTTCAAGACCATAACAATGTTTCGAAGGTTGAAAGGAGCTTCGATGAGAGCGCGGATCTAAGAGTCGCGGAGGGGCAGGTGGCCATCGACAATCGTTTTTTTGAAAGTTTAGCAGTAAGCGCACGGCGAGGCACGGAAATAATGGACTTGCGGTTCGGCCCTGCCACCTTTTACACTCGTATACGACACTGGACGAGAACAACAAAAAGGGAGCATTAGCTCCATTATGACCGCTTTACAAATTTTCCTCGTGTCGATCGAGAAAAAAAGCATAGAAAGTATCCGTTCTAAGAAAAACATCGATAGGCAAACATATGCTGAATTATCTCTAACACCGGTACTCAGTCAGGCACTGACCTGGCGAAACTACAAAGCATGGAAAACGAGTGACAACTCCATCGATAGCATGCCAACTGCACAGATCAGAACTACACGATGGGAGCCAACGGTATAGTTTTTGTGCCGGAACTTCGACGAAATGTGTCACGAGACAGAACAGGTTTAGAACAGGTCCGGCCATGGGGTCAAGCCGACCGGGCAATAATGCCGGATACAATTAGTAGCACCATGGAGCCTGAAGACGGTCAAAAGATGCATGTTTAGCGCGCTGTTAACTGCGCACGCTGCCTTAATTTGCGTGTGCCCCAGTCACCTAGCCTAATAAAGCCACCCATCATCATAACCACAACCCATTACCTCAGCGGTCTGACCCAACCCCATCCCACCCTGACCTGGCTCAGCCCACCACAACCACCACAGAGTCGACTCCTTACGCCCCACCCCCCACCCCGTGACCCAGCAGCGTCCCTATCTGCCCACCGCCACAGTACCTGCCGGGCCGCCTCCCACCACGTTATGCTCTGACCCAGTCCCGCTGTACCCACGTCACGTTCCATCCCCCCCCCGCCAGTCCTGCGCCCTCTGTCGTCACGGGACCGCAGGGCGGGCTGGGGCTGGGGCTGGGGCTGGGGCTGGGGCTGGGGAGGGGAGGGGAGGGGAGGGGGAGGGGCACCGGCGGAATGCATTGTCTTATATGGTGCGCGCGGGCGCGCCGCGGCCGGTCGCGATAAGCCCGGCTGGGCACGCCGCCGCCGGCCCGAGACCGCCTCCGGGCACGATAAGGGGCTCAGTTGAAGCACGCAGGCGACGGGGGGCCTCTCCCTATCGCCCCGATCCGGCTCAAACAGGTGGAGTGGGCGGATCTGCGATAGGCGGCAGCGATGACCGGGCGGGCGCGATTCTGACCCGCCGGGGCTTGTTCGATAGGATATCGCCGCCAAGAGGGTACAACTCGACAGCTCTGAGGTTACATAAACTGAAGCCGGCCCCGTATGACGCGACCCTCGACTGGGGGAAGGGGAGGGGAGGGAGAAGGGCGGATAACAGACCTGCCGACTCACGCGGCTGGGGAGGGGGAGGGGGCGGGGTCAACACATTCGCGCCCCATGACACGACCGACGAAAGCTGAATAACTGAGCGGCTTGATATGAGAAAAAAGGCCTTGAGATCCAGGCGCTTTGGTTCTATGAGAGTTCCCATTTCTGCACTGACAATAATCAACCTTCGCTATACCAGCAGGTACTGGCTAAACGACGTATTGAGCAAAATTTGGCTGCTTTGTCAGAGCTCGACGTTTCAAGCTATGGTCATGGCCCCTCGTGACCATGAGCGCAGCTTAAGCCGTCAAGTTTGTAACAACATAATCAGTGTTCGCTCAAATGTTTAAATTACAATGTTCAACTTATCCTTGACGTTCATATACCAGCATCTTCTAACGTTGGATAACGCCCTAACCAGTGCCTCCTGGTATACTAAAGGTCGATTACTGGCAGCAAAGTACTCTAAATTCATGACACCAAATTGAGCAGGAGACGACGACGAAATAAAATGATACGGGAAACGAAGGAGCCTAAAGCAGCAAACAGGATCGGAGGGTCAGCAGAACAGCGCAATACAACTATTACGCGGAATGTCATAGGGCATCAGACTCCGGCCCTACCGCCGGTTGGACGAACGGAACGAGCCATGCCGAGCTCGAAACAAGGCTGTCGACTGTCTCGCACTGGGGTCAAGTAACAGATTTACGAGGGTCGTACTGAGGCCTGCCGCTCAGTCACGACCGGCCTAATGTACAGGGAGAAGGAGGGGGGGTGTGAAAGTAAACCCGAGGAAA